ATACTTGATGAATATAAAATAGAGTTGAAAAGTAAATAGAAATATCATTGGATAAAATGAAATTATAAACAGGGAAGTTCAAAATTCAGAAAAAATTCTTGTTATAAATGTTTAGAAATGACTGAGTGATTTCAGAAGACTTAATTATTAAGATTGCAGATACTAGTTAAGTATATGGTGAAGTCAATGTATTTACTCAAGAACGGCAGGATAATATGATTAGAGAAGCTGCAGCTGATGAAACCAATAAGAAGAAATGTGTAACGCTTGATGGCTCTATTGATGCTTTGTAGATTGAAATATGAATACAGTATTACATGATACTATGATGCTTTGTTTAACCAATGGCCAATGTATTAAATTAAGTACATAAGTGAGAATACTATTTGAAGTAGAAGACTAAATAATTGCATTTCCAGCCATCATAAACCATAAGTAGATGTGAGGCTTTGAAGATTTTTTTTCTACAAATCTTTAACCTTTTAAAAATATAATTCAAATTTCTTTATCAGTGGATACTTGGACCGTATACTTATCATCAAATTCGTTATTTTGAATAGGACTATACTTTATACTTTTGCATAAATATAATTACTTTTCTATTATATATCCTTAACGTACCAATAAAATGTTTATCTTATCTAGGATTTATGTACTTTTTTTAAAAATAAAATTTAGATGTGATCTTCAAAATAAATCTTGTTTACACAAAAATCTACGATACATATTTAATTTAAATCGATTGCATCATAATATTATCAGATCTCAAATCTCTATATATAATAAACATCTTATGTAATTTTTAAAAAATATCTATACAATCATAAGCAACTATAATTAGATGGCCATTAATTAAGTTTGTTCTTCAAAACCATACATATCATTTATTGAATCCATGATCAATTATAATTCTAAGCAAACCTTATGTTACTAGTACTTTTCAAAAAACATTAACCCTCAAATGCAATTTTTCGAAAGCTACCGTTCATCACTCCTATTAAAATCCATTTTGTAATGTATCAACCTTCAAATATTACATCATTTGATTGAGGGTTCAAAAAAAAGATATCTTATGAAAACCTTATTAGAAGAATGGAGAAAGGGGTAACAATTTTTTCATTTTTCCTAACAATTCCACCTATTCTACTCCTCATTTACATTAATTAAATTATGTGGAGTAAAACCAAGCCCATATTCTAAAGTCCTAAATTAAATTAATAAATTAAACATTTTAATGATTTTCAAATAATAAATTAATCTTTTGGGGTTATTCTAAATTAGTTTTCAAAAAGAAACTTCCCTAAGTTGTTAATAATTGCTTCAAATCATAACCTTAATGAGTTATATATCCCATAAACGGATTGAATCATCAGCACTATCTGAAGCTAAAGCAGTTCCATCTATCTTTCTTTTAGTAAATTAGTGATATAATGAGTATTTTTTCTCTCAATAAATTATATTTAATCATAAAATAAAATATTTTTTTTTCTAATGATTTCAAGATTAAAATACTTAAAGTTAAAAATTTTTTTTATTTGATCTGAAACTAAAATTAAATCTTTAACAAAGCAAGCCTTATATCTGATGAATAATTTTCTGTTTATGACAATTAATTGATTTTAAAATCTTTATTCTCAAAGATTCAAGCTATAAAAAAACCTTTTCATTTGCCATCATAACCCAATTTTCGACTTGTTTTATCTTAATCATAACTTTAATGAATAAGATATTTTTGATTCATAACTTAATTTACAAGTAATTGAAATTCAATATTTATTTTAAAAAATTTAATGAATTGCAACTAGGAAGAGAAAAAGGATCTGTTTGAGTTTATGGTTTTGTTAAAAGATATGGATACATAAATTTACAGCTTGATAATTGAAATGTTGTTTAATGAAAAAGTTTCAGATTTATTAGGATTTTTTTCAAATTATTAGAATCAAAAGCTTTATTAATAATACATTTTTAAAAATCATAATTTCTAAATTTTCGATAAATGGTGGAAGTTAGATGTTTAAAAAAATAACTTTAAGAAAATAATTAATGTTCTTTTAGACATTAAAGACCATGAATTTAATAAAAATGACTATTCTTCAGAAATTTTTAGTTAAAAAAGAAAATCTTTTATTAATAAAATAAAAGAGGAAAAGAT